AAAAATAGAAAAAAAATGGACGCGAAAACTTTCAATCAATTTTTTTTTTCGTTTTTTTGCGATTTTTTTGATTTTTTTTGATTGTTTTTTTGATTTTGATTTTAGATGTAGAAACGATTTAAATGCAACTAATTTGATTAATCTCTTTCATGATAATGACTGTTTCAACAGACTGTATGGACGAAGAATTGAAGAGTTTCCAGAGAAACAAGTCATTGATACCCTTGCATTACCTGAATTCAAAGGTATTTACTTTGAATTATACCAATATTTCTAGGGACTACCACCAACAATACAGTTCGATTTATTACAAGAGATTGCAGTCGTTAAGAGAGAGAGTATTGAAAACAGCGAAAGAAAAATGGAATAATAAAGTGATACAGAATATTCAAATTAAACATGTTGAAAAAGTTTTGGATATTCCAAAGGAGAAACCATGCTGGGTGATTGGGTTAACTTATTGTGAGATGGAATATAAACCAAATGTTTTACAAGAGGTAGCAATTGGAGTCTATGGGATTCCACCACCTCCAAAGCCAACTTATAGCAATCCAGATAAGGATGTGTTGATTTTGGAAGATGAAAGTGGAAGAGTTGTATTGGATTTATCTGATGACAAATTTAATGATTTGGTATTTGTAACTGGATGCGTAATCGGAGTGTTGGGAATTCAGGTCGATATAGGTTTGTTTAAAATCATCGATATTATATTCCCAAGTTTCCCGATTCAAAGAAAGATCAATTTATTAGTACCTTCTAGTGATATTGTAAATAATGATAATAATAAAATTGCTATAATTTCTGGGTTGGAAATTGATTTAGATGAGTTTGATATAATTAAAATGGAAATATTGAAAGAATATTTATTGGGATATTTAGGTAATGCCAATCAAATCAAAAATATTACTAAATTGATCATTGCAGGAAATTCCACCAAGACATTAGATCAAGATAGTGAATTAAGAAAAGATAATGATAGATTTAAATATGGAACTAAGGCTAAATCGAATTATAATTCAAAGGCAATGAATATTTTGGATGAATTTTTGAGTGAGATTTTGACTAGTCTACCAATTGATATAATGCCTGGGGAGTTTGATCCAACAGAGGTGAGTTTACCACAACAAAGTTTACACAAGATTTTTTTCAATAAATCCAAGAAGTATATTAAAACTGGGGATTTAAGATTATTGACAAATCCAGCATGGTTTGAAATTGATAATTTGAGAATTTTGGGTACAAGTGGACAAAATATCAATGATATATTAAAATACAATATACCAGTGAACAAAATTGAAAATAGTGAAAATGGTGAAAATAATAAAAATGTATTTGAAGATAATTATCAATTGAGAAAAAAGTATATTAAATCAACGTTATATTGGTCAAATATAATACCAACGGCACCGGATACATTGTCATGTTATCCCTATTTTGAGAAGGATCCATTTACATTGAATGAGACTCCACATGTATACTTTATTGGAAACCAACCAGAATATGGGTCTGAGTTTGTTAAATTAAAGGATGATATACAAGAGATTGGATATTCAAATGAGGTTGAAATGACTGAGAGTTTTAATGAAGAAGATCAGGATGAATTAATGATGGAAGTTGACAAGAATAGAATTGAAAACGGATCAAACAATGAATCAAACAGGGAGAATATAGTCCGTATTATATCTGTTCCCAAGTTTAAAGCAAGTGGAGAGATTGTTTTATTGGATACAAAGACATTAGAAACTGAGATCATTCGGATTAGTTAGTGCTGATAAATACACGGTTTGTGTAGATGTGTATATCAGATCATGAATTGATAATGTGAATGACAGGAAAAAGTGAGATATTAGAGGGAGATGGAAATGAGAGATTATGGACAAAGATGTGCAGTTGTGAATGTGAGTGTGAGTGTGAGTGTGATTGTGATGATGTTGATATATATTACGATAAAAGATATTATTTGGTAGGTGTATATAAGGTGTGTGGGTTTTGAAATTACAGGCAAATAAGTTACACGAACTAAAACTTGGTTTATATGAAAATAAGCCCAATCAAATGAAATCAAACTGAATTAAAAATGAATTAAAATAAAATTAAAACAAAATAAAACAAATTAGTATAGGATAATAAAAGATACATAAAACAAAGTTAAATATAGAAAAATAAGTAGGCAAAAAAAAGGAAAAAGGAAAAATGTAAGGAAAAAAATAAGAAACCCCATAAAACAATAAAAAACAAAATGGATTAAATTAAATTAAATATAGAAAAAAAAAAAAACGAAAAGAAAAAATCAAAATGAAAAATCAACTACAGAAAAACACAAGCTTTAAATCATTAATATATAAATTTAATATATTCTTAACATTAATTTTAGATCAATTATGCGGCAATAGCAGTAGCAGCTGGGGTTGGTGGACCAGCAGGAGCAGCAGGAGCAGCCTTTTTAGCAGCTCTTGTTTTTGCTGGTTTTGCCTTTGAAACCTTTGCAGCAGTTGTTTTCTTTGTAGCAGAAGCTGTTTTCTTTGTAGTTGATTTTTTAGTAGTTGTAGGTTTTTTAATTGAGGAAGATTTAGCGGGACTCTTTTTTGATTCAGATTTTTTTGTGTCAGCCTTTTTTGGTTCAGTTTTCTTAGAGTCTGCCTTCTTTATATCAGTTTTTTTTATATCAGATTTCTTTTTTGTTGAGGTTGAAGATGGTTCTGAGGTGGTGGAAGTTGTAGATTTTTGTTTTGATTTTGGAATTGGCTTTGAGGCTGTAGTTTTTTTGGCTGCCAAAGTTGGTTTCGTGGGTTTTTCTATTTTTTCCTTTGTTGACTTTGTTGGTTCCTTTTTAACTAATTTTACTGGGCCCGAAGGACCTTTTGGTTGCTGAAAGACCTTGTTGTCAACACCTTTTCTCAAGGCCAAATTAAATTGAGTATCAAAATTTGAAGAGTTAATTTTGTAATTGAGAGTGACATATTTCTTTAGGGCTTGTCTACTTGAACCTTTGCGATCTTTTAAAGCTAAGATGGCAGCAATGATCATTTCCTTATAGGGGGGATGTTCGGGAGTCTTTTTAGCATTTGCAGTCGTTGGACTGGTGGTAGCTGAGGTGGTGGTGGTGGCAGCTTTAGGCATGGCAGGATAGAAATTGAGGGATGAATAGATAAGAAAGAGAGATAACTGCAGGAATTATTTGAAAGTATTAGAATGACTGGAATAAGGAGAAAGGGCGAATAAATTTCAATATTAAAAATTAAAACAAATAAAACCAGATAAGGAAAAGAAAATAAACTAAAATCAGATAAAACAGAAGAGACTATTATACAAGACAGAAAAAAGGGAAAAAGAAAAACAGAAGGAAATCAATGAATATAAGAGCAAAAAAAGAGAGATGGATTCTTACAAAATCAAACAATCTCATCCAACCCATCCAGAAAGAAGATCGCTCTCAACAATGCAAACAGAAACGGGAGACTGTCCCAGATCCAGCGCTGTGGGCCAACCATCCCACAGCTAACACGGCCTCTCAACGCAGACAGAGCTTGGGGAGCACTGAGATGACGCCCTGTGGAAACGGGAGCAGGCAAGGAGCAGCGTGTGAGGAGATATACACCAGCTAAGGGATATTGTGGTCCATTTATTCAGGCTAAACAAAACAACCAGACAAAGGAGAACAAGCTGGAGCAGGGGCAGCAGCAGCAGCTGGAGCAGCAGCAGCAGGGGCACAGGCAGGAGCAGAGACAGAGGCAGTGAGAGTGCTGGCAGTACAGGGAGAACGAGAGACACGCCGGTTAGAAGAGCTTGTAGAGCGTGTATACAAGGAAGAAGAAAAAGAGCGCTATGCCCACCATTTTCACCATTGAGGTGTTGGACGAAAAGAGTCTGGAGAGCTTTGTGGAGGACGCCTTGATGTTGGTTACCAACGAGTTCATCTGGTTCGAGAGGTTGTCGAGCAAATTGGCATCCTGGTGGGAATCATGGTGGATTTCTTCCGTGATGGACCGTAGAGTAGAGAGTTTGGAGGCTAGCGCTTCAAATCTCACGTTGTTCTGGCAGCAAGAGATGTTAGTAAACCTGAATCACAAGCAGCAGAGCCAAAAACAGCAGCAAACGAAACTCACCTCCTGTTCTCGTTGAGCATATCGAGACATGATTGTTGAACAGTGTAATGATAGAGAGGAGCTGATGGTGCTCTTGATGGTCTCTTGATGGTGATGGTGAAAATGAGTGATAAACAGTGGAGATCAGCGCTTAAAGTGGATGAGAGCCAAAAAACAAACCAGGCATGTGCTGGGGAGCTGACATAAGCGCACGCTTTCTTAGATAAATAAACATATATTAATTTAATTACTCAGAAGTTACATAACACCACGGTTATACACGCCTAGTAACGCTTAATTGTGGCACGTTTTGATTAAGCAGTGTTACGTAATAATTCCTCCTTTTTTCAATGAGTCACCTTCTTTTTCTCTTTTGGGTGTGGTTGATATTAGTTTATATCTTTTTATTTATCATCAATTTCTTTGGTTACTTTCGCCTTTTTTAACTTTCGATTTATGATATTATCTCGATCACTGGAAGATTCGAAGTTCCGTACGAGTTTTATTTTAATCTGTTTTGATTATTCAACTGAAAAGAAAAAAATCATTCATATTGAGTTATTATCATCTTAATGGAATAAGAGATTGATAACGAAAAGGGACTTTTAATACTTTAAATCAAAAATTATTCAACATAATATAGCTAAATTATCTAGTCTTTCAACATCTTATTGGTACTATTTTATTCCTCTTTTTTTTTAGCGAATTTCATTTCAATTTACTTCCTTACTCTTTACTTATTAACTAAAAGCAAATAATGGCATTCTGATATTGTATTAATTTTATCTATATTTTTCCACGTTCATTTTCTTGTTGTTTTTTTTATCTAAAAAAAAAAAAATAAATAATAACTTTCAAAGGTTCCAAAGGCTACCAAAATTCATTAACAATTCATTAAAAATTATATAAATCATAAAAATTATAAAACTCTAAAAAAAATGATTGATAATTGTAACATTAATCTAAATATTGAATCTGTATCAAATTTATCTAAATTATCAAAATTGGCAAATAATAAATCATCTATATCTAAAAGTACTGACAATAATACAAACAACAACAATAATAATAGTAGCACTGATAATAATCAACTTCAAAACTTAAAGTGCACATCTGATGATATGCTTTCTTCAATTCCTGACCTAATTAATGATAACGATGATTATGAAAATCAAATTGATATCAATAACTCCAACAATTACTCAATTGATATCACAAATAACAATACACAAATAAATTATGATTCAGATTATTCCTTTAATTTTGTAAATTCCTCATTAAACTCTTTTAAAAATCAACTTTTTGATACTAATACTAATTCTATTACTACTACTTCTAATAATAATAATAAAAATATTAATGTTAATCTCAATATTACTCCAAACCCAAAAAACATCAATAACAAAATTCATAAACATGTTAATACCAGAAATTTTATTAACAATCTAATTATTCAAATTATATCCAATTTGGTTTACGTTAAATTCAAAACTGATAATACTCAAAGTCTTGAATCTAATAAAAATGAAACTGAAAATATTAACAAAAACAACAATAATATTAATAATACTACATCGCAAAATTTTCATATCTTTGTATTAAAAATCATCAAAAGATCAAATTTATCTTTAAATCACTTAATCTGCTCAACTTATTTTCTATTTAAATATAGATCAATTATTATTAATAACAATAATAATATCTTGAAAAATGATATTAAAAAATTATTTATTGCATCGCTAATTTTTACAAACCTTCCAATAAATAATAGTAATAATAAATTATCAATTAATATTTGGGCTCAATTAACTGGGTTGTCATTAACTGAGTTACTAAATTTAAAAAAACTATTTATTAATTTAATTACAAATAATAATTCAAAGATCAATTCAAATTTTTTATTCAAAATTAATTTGAAAGAGTATCAATTTTTCAAAAACAATTTGCTCAATTTAACAAAATTTTACATCTCAAATAAGAAATAATTACAAATCAATTACATTATTCTATTTGATTCTATTAGGCTTATTTTTTGCTTTTTCTCTTGCTTTACTCTTATTGTTTTTTACTTGTATACATATTTAGTTTATATATTATTGGACAGTATTTCTTTTCCTAAAACAGACGATGCATGCCAAAGCGTAAAAAGCGTATATATGCATATATGAGCATGGAAATCATAAACAGTTAAAAGTAAAATTGAAAATAAAACTGAAAATAAAACTGAAGCACAAAATCAAAACTGAAAAATAGATAAAAATTAGATGAAACTCGAAATGTTATAATAATAGAAATAATAGGAATAATAGGAATAATAAATAATAAATAATAAATAATAAAATAGTTATTTTTAACAAACATAACATAAAATGATCTTCAATAAAATATAAAAAATACTATAATTTGAAATCACTAGTCATCAACCAATTGAACAATTAAAATCAAAAGAATTCAAAAATTTATAAAAATTTATACAAAATTTGGATTAATGAAAATCACTTATTTTGACACGTTTATTAGTGGCTTCTGTTAATAAATTATCAGAATCTCTATTATGAAGTAGTTTACTTTTTGAATCAGAGTCCTTAGATGGATTCTGATCTTCATCAATAGTTTCATTCAAATCATAATCATAATCATCATTTTCATTTTCATTTTCATTTTTACTTAAATTATGATCATCATTTTGATTTAGATCTTGATCTTGGTTTAATTTTTTATTTGTTTTAGTTTTTTTTTTATTTATGCTAGGATTTATTTGATTGCTAGTTTCTTTAGAAAGCTTCTTTGGATTATCTTTATCGTTTTTGATTTTAATTTTTTCTTGGAGTTCTACTTGTTTTAAATTTTGGTTATATTCTTCATTATCTTTTAGTGCTTCATTTACGATTAAATGTCTTTCATCAGAAAAGGTTCTTGGAAGACTTTCATAAGTCATTAAATGACCTAAAATGGTTTCACCTTTTCTGTTTTTGGGTGATATATGATGTAATTCATAGCATTTATTTGTTAATAAGGAGAAACCGCCAGAAAAAGCCTTTTTAAGTTCGTTCATTTTAAAGGTGCCCTTACTTATATTATTATTTGGTATAAAAGGGTCTTGGATGACTAGATTGAAATTATGTCTATCGAATTTCTTTGAAATTGATAATTCTTGATAAATATATTTTGGGGCTAAAGATGGGCCACTAACAGCAGAGATTAAGATCGCAATATCGTTATAGTTAAAATTTTTCCCGTAAAGTTCAAAGAATTCAATTAATAAAGTGCCCAAGTTAGCTTCAGGGTTAATTGAGTTTGTTATGATCCTTGGATGAATCTTGAAAAACGTGTAAGCTAGGCAAATGATTGCAAAGCCACCAATACCACCGAAGTGAACATCATTTAGTTTTCTTGATTTAATAAATTGTTTTATAACTAGGATTAACTCACGTAGTCCATTAAATTCGTTTAGCCAAGATCTAATTAAACCTGCAGCCTTTAAACCAGTTTTTTGGTTGAAAGAGATATCTATTTTCAAGTTTGAGAATTTTTCTTTGATTCTAATAATGGGAACAGCTGTTTTGGTTATTGTTTCCATGAAGGAAGTGATTTTTTCATTTCTTAATAGAGAAGCAACTTTGAATAATAAGGATTTAGTGTCTGGATAGGATATTGTGTCATCGCATATGACAACCATATCGATATCGGAATCAGGTAGATATAAATCGGCAGCAAATGAGCCAAAGACATGAACGTGAGAGTTTGGAATATTAGAAGCTATTAAATTTCTGACTTTATTGAAACAGGTGTTTCTTTTGATTATTTCGTCTTTAGTTGGGGAAACATAATTGACAAAATCTCTAATTTCAGAGGATAGCCAGTCGGGAAATTCGATTAAATGAATATTATTGTGTTTTTTAATCCAAGGGTAGTCTATGTTTAGTGATTCAGGATTGATGGGGTAGTTATTAATTTGATCTTTAGCACGAGCAGATGAAGGTGTGTTTTCAAATTGAGAGTTTAACGGTTGATTTGGAGATTCGGTGTCAGAATTGATTAAAACATCGGAATTATCATCAGAATCCGAATGTGCAAATTCTATGAAATCGTCATTATTTTCAATTTCATGGTCTTCATTATCAAATAAATCGGCATTTTTATCAGCGCGGTTGTGAGTCTTGTTATTATGAGCCTGATTGCTATGAGATTGATGAATCGTGGTCGAACTATCAGTGCCAGAAACATTGTTAAAGTCTTCAAAAAACACATCCTCTGTATCTGCGGGATCAGCATCACCAGCATTTGAGGCATTCTTCAGCAGACCTGTCTCATCAGACTTTTCAAATTGAGTAAGGTCTAGATCATAATCGTCACCACCATTCTCATTCTCATTCCCATTATCATTATTATTATCATTATCATTTCCATTGTCATTGCCATTGTCATTGCCACTACGATGATCGTTCTGTTCCAGAGCTTGCACAGTGGAGTCATCATCGGCACGAGAAGCAGTCATTGAGTCTCCGTCGCCAACACCTACAGCATCACCTACAGCACACACCTCTCGAGCAGCATCCCATCTATCGTCGCCAGAAACAACTTCCCCAGCACTCAACACTCTGTCGCTGCGTCCGAACATCTTGCTGGGGTTCCTTCGGTGTTCCTCCACCTTCACCAAAAGACCCACGCGGGAGCACCGCCGCACGGTGTTTGTGTCCGCAGAAATCCGTTGGCGGTTTGCACGCGGCGCTGATTTCTGCTCCCGCCCTGCTGGTGCAGTTCCGTCTCGCTGGTGCCTGCAGTCTGCAGCGCGATGAGCGATGCCTGCAGCCCTGACCTGTATATAAAAACGTCAAAAGAACAGCGTTTCGTCCTTTATCTTTGGTGCTGCTTCTTCTGCTTCTGCTGCCTCTGCTTCGTCTGTTGCCTCTGACATCGTGCTCTCCACGCCCTTGCATTATGCCTGCTGCCACGTCTCAACCTGCCGTCATCTCGGCCCTGTCTTTTCTCATCTCCTTGAGGCCATTGTTGAAAGTATGTGCAAAAGTTCTGTTTTTTTCACTACCAAACCCTTGTGAGGTCTACTCGCTCAAATACTAATTGTTTTCTGCTTTAATTTTTTATTTCCTGTTTTAAAAGACTGCTCAGTTTTACTGGTATCTAGGCCATTTAATGGAAGTGTTTTCAATGGTATCCTTTACTGTATCAAATTTCTTACCTTCTCCGATTTCTTCAACTTCCAAATTTTTTTACACTTTGTCAATTTTCTCAATAATATTAACCTATTCAATCGTTATTTTAAAAACATATCCCTTGGGTTTCGTTAAAACTCTATTTTCAAATCCTTTGAAAATCATCAATGATAATAATGTCCAGTACCTTTTATTATCCATTTTTTTCTATTTAAATTTCAAAATCCAGTCTTTAATTCAAGGCTCTTTATACCCTTTCACGATCTACTCAGTTTTCCATTCTCTAAATTATTTCAGAGATTTAATTCTACCCATCTTACCTCTAATCAACACCAATCTTAAAACCAACATAAATACAAAGATTAACTACTTGATTAAAAACTACTACGAAACCTCACTAACTATAGCTGCCAACTCGGAATTAATTATAATTTTCCAACTAGTAATGGACATTATTAAAAAATTTGTAATTCTTTTTATTTATAGAAACACTCTACTAATATCGGAGATCTTCAAGCTATTCTTTATAACTTCCTTTTATCTAATCTTCATCAAAATTAGATATAACCAAAATAACTACATGAAAAATGTTGTCAATACCTATGACTACAAAATTAACGTTTTCTTATCTTCAAATCAAAGAATTCCTTCTTTCATTCAAAACTTTTGGTATAGCATTAGACATATGATTATCTTCTACCTATCTCCAATCAGCCTCCCTTCTCCTCCAAATAGGCGTTAGATAATTATCAGCAATAAATAAGAAATAATTAATAATTAATAATAAATAATCAATAATCAATAATCAAATTCAAATCACCTCTCATTGACACAATTATCTTCTCTTCTCTTCTGCTTCTGTATAAGATTATCCCTTACTCACTTCTTTATATTTGCTTAGTATACTATAGACCTTCTCTCACTTTATTTTATATACACTTCTTTTTTGTTCCCTCTCACATCTTTCCTCCCTTTCCTTTTCAAAACACAAAAACAACGTTTTTCTTCTCTTTCTTCTCTTTCTTCTCTTCCCTTCCTTCTCTCTCTCTCTTTTTGTTTTTTGCTCTCGATTTATGTTTGTTTTAATCGTTTTTCTATCCTTTTCCTCTGCAACTCATCAATAAACTAACAGCCACTAGTAACTAATTATTAATCACCATTCATTAGCTATTTTGTAATCTTTATCAAAAAAAACAGGAAAACCAATTAAAAGAACCAAAAACAATGTGGTTTCATCTTTATTTTAATCTTTATCTTCATTTCCTATTATACTCACTTGTTGCAACCAAATCTCTCGCTGCTTATACCTACCGCCCAGATATTCAAAACGAATTTGGTTCTTACATGAATCCCAATCCAAGAACTCCTTGTGAAGGCTCAGAACTAGAAAAATTAAACACCTGTGCTAACGACGTTTTATCGAAACTAGATGATTGTAAAGCTGATGATCTCGCTTGTGAATGTTGTGCACTTCAAAGTCTTAATCGAGACTGCTATGGTCTATGTCCTGGTTCTCCATCCGGCAATTTTTTAGCTGTATTATATGATGATTGTGAGTCTTTGAATGATGTTAACGCCTGTGGTTTGCCCTTCAAAAAGGAAGATGCGAAACCAATTTCCCATAGATTGAATTCAAATTCAAAATCAAAATCAAATACTTATCCAACAAATTACATCCATCATAATACAAATGACCCAATTCCAGTACTTAAATCAACTTTTGAATCAAAAGAAAAAGTCAAGTCTAAAGATATAAACAAAGAAAAACAAAAAATAACTCAAGATCAAGAAATTTTAACTTTAAAAGTTGATACCAACGAAATCGTATCAAAGAACTCAAAGAACTCAACAAATTCAACAATTATATCTCCATCCACCAATATCAACAATGATAACAATAAAAATGATTTCAACTCAAACTCAAACAGTACAATCAATTCGACTAATACAACCGATTCAAACAATATCGGAGTAAACACTGACCATTCCTCGATGGGCTCGATTATCAAAACAAGTTATCTTTCTTTTTTTATCTTCTTCTTTAGTTTTTGTATTGTTATTGTTTTAGATTAGGTTAAATTAGAGTCAATTTAGAATATATAGATTTTTGTAGTAAAAACTTAATAGAATAGAATAGAATAGAATAGAATAGAATATTAAAATATCATTTAAAATATTATTTAAAAAAATAAATGGAATGCCAAACTAGTCATGCTATCAATTGACTTCATCCATCCATTCCAATGTTTTCTTAATTCCATCTTCAAGACTAACTTGAGGTTTATAACCCAATAGAGCCTTAGCCTTGGTGATATTATGATAACGAAATGCACAAACAATTTTAACTCTAAATGGAGTTAATCCAGGTTCTTTTCCTGATAGCTTTGAGAAAAATTCAGATAAATATCCAACAACTATGGCAACAGATCTATTTAAAACAATGTTAAATTTATCAATATGTCCATCGGCTTTCCAAACAGTTCTAGCTAATGTCCAAAAATATGTTGGCGCATCGTTTGTAACAAAAAATGCTTCACCACCAATTTTTTTAGAATCAATTGGATCCAAGAATTTCAAAGCTGCTAAAACATGAGCATCAGCAACATTTCCAGCATAGGACCAATCAAATAAATTATTATTGTCCCCAATTTGAAATTTCGATTGTCCTAACTTGGCTACAGATCTTAACCCAGGAATCAATTGGCGATCTCCTGGCCCAAAGATTCCAGCTGGACGTAAAGCAACAGTCAAAAAATTGTCCTCAAATGAATTTGCTTTCAAAATCATATCTTCTGCTCTTGCTTTTGTATCATTATATCCATCCATGGGAACCTTTGGAATGGGCCATGATTCATCGGCATTATGAACATCTTGCCCATTGAATATAACACCAGCAGAAGAAGTATAAACTATCCCTCTGATTTTTAGTTCTTTTGCACATTCAATTAAATTTCTGGTTCCCTGAACATTAACTTTTTCATAAATTTCTTGTTTTAAACCATGCATTGGCGAAGCAGAATGAACAATGATATCACATTTACTTTTCAATATAGCAGATTTAACATCTTCAGGAGATGTCAAGTCACCTTGATGAAATATTATTTGTTTGGCGTCGAAAGTGAAATATGAAGCCAATTTTTCAGGTAATGGACGAACATCAAAAACATGAATTATTGGATGATTTGGAATTTGGTAGAATTGTTGGATTAAATGCAAACCCAAAAAGCCTGCACCACCAATCAATAGTACTGATTCGAGATGTTGTTGTTGCTCTGCCATTTAAAGATGAAATATAGCTATTCCCGAATTTTAAGAGATAACTACACCTCTGAGTAAATCGCTGATTGGAACTTATTTATCTCTAGAAATATCTCCACCATTGAAACACACACTATTTTTTTTGATTATCGAAAGTGCGATGCAGTACGAAAATACGAGAAATCCGGCCTCCCTGGCCACGGAAAATAGAAAGCGCGGAGAACGGATTTTAAAGTGGAAATACAGCAGATTTAACTCAATTCAATTCATTAGTGAAGGAAAAGATATAAAAATCCAAAGATATATTATAATTATACATTTATTATTGATCTATTATAACATAACTTAAATATTAGATGGGTAAAGCATGATTCTAACAGTGGCACCAAAAGTCTTAGCTGGCAAGTTTGATTTGAAAGTAGCACGAACAGCACCTGAATTACCATGAGTTCTGGTGATTTTACCCCAAATAACTCTGATTTTGGTTCCTCTGATTTCTTTAGAGGCTTTATAGACATAAGCAACACGTTTGCCTAAGTAGAATTTAGCATCTTCTGGTTTGGAAACACCCTCAATTTTGATCAAAGAAACGTTTGGGTTGGTAACACTTTTGCTTCTTTGGTAAGATACGTGTTTACCTTTAACGTATACTGTTAATAAAAAAAAATGAGTTAGTATTGTAATTCTATAACAACATAAAACTGAAACACATGAACAATTGTGAGTAAATAGATTATTAAATAGATTATTGAATAATTTAATATTGAAATTTGCAATAAAATTGAGATAATGACTGTTTCAATAATTATGACTAAAAATATAACTGGCTAAACCTTTTAAAGATTTTTTGGTTTTTGGTAGAAGCTATAATTTTTTCTACCCAAATTACTTTAAATAAATAAAAAAAATGTTTGAATTGATCGGTACTTTATTAAATTTATTAGATTTTTTTTAAAGTTAGTTTAAAATGTTTAATCATATTGTTCCTTCATATAATCGATTTAATCAAAAAGTAAGAGAAATTTTGTAAATCAATTGATTAAATTAATCATTCATCAATTCTTGTAATATCTATAATAAAACATTCACTACTGCAAAAAAAATAAACAGTATAATGATATATGAATTGAAAATAATCATTTGTTATCAGATTGAACTTTTAAAATTATAATATTTTCTATTCTAGTTGGTTATATTCTTGATAAAAAAATATATATTGTAGTTTTTTATAATATTAAATCCAATAAATTTACTTTAGTAATCTAGAAATTCTCTAATAAAAATATTTTAAATTGAAATTAAAATATAATCATGGAATTCTTAATTCAATTTTTAGCTTTTGAATTTAAATCAATGATTATAATATCAACAAATTCAATAGTGATATATTTTTGAAATTAATTGTGTTTAACATTGCTTTAATTTTTGGTGAATTTCCTCTGTATTCAATTAGAAAAACTTAATAAGTGATTAATTGGTATTAAATATATATCTAATTATGCCAAAAAATGATTTAATTTGGACCCAATTAGAAAATAATTTTAAAATATCTTAATTTTGTAATTTTTATATTTTCTTCAATTTTCCATTTGAAACATTATATTTATAATCGATTAATTGAAATAAAGTCTATTTAATCATAATTCATGTTTGGAATCCCTATAAATTAAATTAAAAACATACATCTATGTGATTCAGCCATTTCTAATATTATTATTTATTATTGATTATAGTGTTAAAATTCAAGCTTGTTGTTACTTTATTTTAGTTATATCAACAATTCAATTTTCACCACCAATGTTAAAAATTTAAATAATGTGACTAACAAATTGCCTAATTCCCAATAAAACTCGGTTCCAGGTGACTGGAACTAGAAAACCAAAGCAGGCCGCCCCTCAAAAAAGTGATGCAGTGTTATGAGCTTGTACAATCAAATAGCCCTATATAATATCACGCTGCATACTAGGGCTATATAAGTTAAGATGAGCCTTACAATTTTAATAAGCATGTATCAGCATTTTTGTAGCTGTTTTTTTTTTTAACAAATTATCATTTAAATTTTTAACAAAAATCAAAAGTTTTCAACTTTGTTGTAATTCTTTATCCAAAATAAGTAATCATATTAATTTTCAAATTCACAGATGCATCAAAAAGGTTGTATGGCCGAGAGGTCTAAGGCGTCCGACTCAAGTTCCAAGTAACTTTCACTTAAGAAAGTGAGTAATCGGATCTCGAAAGAGGCAGGAGTTCGAACCTCCTTGCAACCATTATTTTTTACATTTTTCTTGTGTGGTAACCAGACTGCTGGTCTTGCTAGTTTTTGCGTTCCCGCTTAGCTGGCTGATATTAGAGCATGTGTCGCACGCGTCAGGTGCGCCGTGTTTAAAGTGGGCTGAAACTGGGGAAAAAACCTCTACAATTCCCGCTCCGGCCCCAAAAACAGCGCATGCTCGCCAAACAGCTTGTTGTTATTGGAGGATTTCCTTCACGCTCCCGCTCTGTTCCACCCGCTGTTCGGAAGCACTGCACACTGTGCACATTTTACTAGATAGCATATATAGGTTATCTTAGAAACAATAGTGGTTAGCGTGGCTTTTTCTGACGCAGTTATTGGGAACAGCGCCGGCTCTGCTAAATGCACACATCTGCTTTTTTTCCACAGTCATGATTTTCTCCAGAAGCGCCAAATTGGGTTATTCCCAGTGACGGTTTGAAGATCGACTCTATTACGGAATATTGTGGTATAAATATATTTCAATTCATTGATCGTATCCAATACTTTCTATCATTAATTGATCATATTCTTCTGTCAATTATCCTTGTTTTCTTTTGGTTCATACCTGTAAATACAACCTCTGCCCTTTTCAATTCACATCCTCAAAATGTTTTCTGCCAGACGTCAATTAATCAACTCATTCAGACAATTTTCCACTTCCTCAATTAATAACTACAAAGTCTCTGTTTTGGGTGCAAATGGTGGTATTGGTCAACCTTTATCTTTGTTATTGAAACTAAATCACAAAGTCACTGATTTAGCTTTATACGATTTAAGAGGTGCTCCAGGTGTCGCAGCTGATGTCTCTCATATCCCAACTAATTCAACTGTTAAGGGTTATACCCCAGATAATGACGGTTTAGCTACCGCCTTAAAGGGTTCTGATGTTGTCATTATTCCAGCTGGTGTTCCAAGAAAACCTGGTATGACTAGAGATGATTTATTCAACACTAATGCTTCAATTGTCGCTTCTTTAGCCTTAGCTGTTGCCGAAAACTCTCCAAATGCTGCCATTTTAATCATCTCAAACCCAGTCAACTCAACTGTTCCAATTGTAGCTGAAGTCCTTAAATCAAAGGGTGTCTACAACCCAAAGAAATTGTTCGGTGTGACTACTTTAGATGTCATCAGAGCTTCAAGATTTATTTCCGAAGTTGCCAACACTGATCCAACCAAAGAACAAGTTACCGTCGTTGGTGGTCACTCTGGTATCACCATTGTACCTCTAATCTCCAAGACTCTTCACAAAGACATTGCTAAGGATGTTAAAGATGCTTTAATCAACAGAATCCAATTTGGTGGTGATGAAGTTGTTAAAGCTAAAGATGGTGCCGGTTCTGCTACATTATCAATGGCTACTGCTGGTGCAAGAATGGCCAACTCTGTTTTGTCTGGTTTATCTGGTGAAAAGGACATTATTGAACCAACTTTCATTGACAATCCTTTATACAAATCTGAAGGTGTTGAATTCTTCTCCTCTCCTGTTACTTTAGGCCCAGATGGTGTTCATGAAATTCACACTTTAGGTACTATCGCTGGTTTTGAAGAAGAGATGATTGCAGCTGCTAAAGAAACCTTGAAGAAAAACATTCAAAAGGGTGTTGATTTCACTGGACAATTCTTAGCAAAACAAAAATAATTTAATATGGATTTATCTTGAATTAACTAATTTTACATAAACTTATTTATTTATTTATTTATTTACTTATTTATTTTATTAATCAGTCTTATCTTTCATGTGTTAACGATTATACAAACAACCAATTTCAATAAATTTTTTTTAGTTTAGAATTGTTTTGAAAATATTAAAACGAAAAGAAAAGAAAAAAAGAAAAATTAAACAAATTAATATTCTATTTTGATACTATTTTAATCAAGCTATTCAATCAAATTATTTAATCAAGATATTTAATACCAGATTGATCTAATTCATCAACACGAACTTTTAATGGTGGGACAATCATTTCATATGCCACAGTTTCTGCTTCTTCGTTTGTAATATCCTTTTCAACATATAGAGTACATGCTAACCCATCTTCATCAACTGGATACAAAAACTCTCTTCTTTTTTTATCCAACTTGGGTTCTTTGTCATATACTGTCAACTTATCTTCGTATTTAATAGGTCCAGGAATCTTTGAACGACCGATTAATTGATAGTTCTCATCGTTTTCAATTGGAACTATTGTAGAGTAATTTCTTCTTGGTAAATATTGAGAATCGACTTGTGTATTATCATACCCTAAATCAATATCTTTTTTGAAAATTGGTACCATATCTTCATCAGTACGATCTCCAAATGAATGGACATTATTCCTTTGGCAATTAAATAACATTTTAGGTACCGCTGCTGGTGGTGGAACATTAACAATAGCGGATGAAATCAAATTGATCATGAAATATGGATCTTGTTGTGGAATAGAAGAAATCTTGGAACTCTTTGCTTGAAACCTACCAATTGCACATAAATGAACATCTCCACTTAAAATTGTTATTCTAACTCCATTATTTGCTTGGAATAACTGAAGTCTTTGTAAAAATTTGTTTCTTTCGGCTTTATGATTATCTGAACACCAATGATCGTTCAAGTCATCCAATATTTCAACTTCTCCATCAAATACTTGAAAGATACCTCCACCGAGATTCCAACTTTGTAAAAACCCGCCAATAGTTTTAGTTACTTGATGTGAGAGCAAAGTTTCTAAAAAGACCAATCTTGGGTACATAATTGGGACACCCAATAGTAGCAAAATGTGTTTAATTTCGCCATTTGATTGATTAATCTCGTATTGCAATCTTTCGAAAATCAAATCATAAGTATCCTGAAAAACAATTTCTTCAACAGTTCTTTCCGTTCTGCAATCCAAACCTAAAACCGCAATTTTCTTGCCCAAACGAACATAAACGGAGTGAGAATATTGATGAATATAAGGACCGATTTTTCTCCCAATGATCCAACTACTTTCTGTATGCAATTGTTCCATTGGGGAAGTGTGGTGTTGAAAGATTAGATAATATTTGTAAGCACTTTCGCCTAAACCTCTAAACATAGGAGAGCCATTAGTTTGGGTATTATATGAACCAAAGCCGTCGATAATATCATGGTCATCGAAGATATTGACCGATGGAATAGAGGACATTGCCTTTGGGAATAACTTGATCCAGGTTGGATCTTTAGTACCATAAAGAAAACCATCACCAAACCAATCCAAATAATGTTCCAAATAAAACTGATTGAAGGATTCTAAATCTTCCTGACCCATGATTTTTTCTTTACGTTCTTGGGTATCGGCTTCAAGGTAGCTTTTATACAATACATTTTTTTCCTTAACTGCATCACAATAGATTTGATCACCACCACCAATCATTACGTGGTAGTGTAAAGATTGATGTTTTTTGAGTAAATCATACCATAGAGTGCCTTTGTAAGTGGAAGTATCAGTTTTGAATGAGAACCCATTACAAGAGAATGATAAGATGTTCATTGATTGATTAATATTTGGAAGGAAGAATTCATATTCAGGTTTAGTTTGGCCATTGATGAAATATTTACATTTTTGTTGGAAATCCACTAGATTTAAATTGATCTCATATCTCCAGAATAAGAAATTTTTCTCTTGGTAGAACAAAGTTGAGGGAAAGGAACCAGTTAAGACTTCAATATCACTAGCATAAGCAGAATTTTGTGGAGGATATAAAGGACCTAAGTTGAAATTGACTTCGGGAGGCATGAGGGAATAGCCTTCGGTGGTTGAGAATTCTGTTGACGTAACAATTAACATTGAAGCTCTGTAGCTACTTGAATTATTTTCTAGAGTACCTAATAGTCTTAAAATCGGGCCACACCTTAAATCAATTGGTGGACAGCCAATTGATTGAACCTTGAAAGCTGGATGAACATCGTTTGAAACTGAGTATTCTTTGTAATACGTTAGATTTTCATCTAGTGGTCTAAACCACTCAGCTTTGGGGATCCACGTAGCAGACATGTTATGAGAATAAGAATATACGAGATAAGGGAATAATTTGTTGATGAAGCAAGCAAGTCAAAAATTAAAAGCAGGGAACTAGGGACAACAGAAAGATGGCAATCTAGAATAATGTCGTGTGAAGATCAAATAGTAACCTGGATGAAACTGGCAAAACTGGCAAAACTGGTGAGAATGATCTCAGATAATTCAGAATCACAGTGACTCAAAATTAACACTGGAAAGAGAACTACTGTATTTCCTGGTGAGAGAGGAAAAGATAAGAGAAAAAAGACAAAAAGAAGGAAAAGTTGCTGTTAAATAGAAGCCAGAGGTAGAGTAATGCCAATTGAGTTCAACTCTAAACAGCACGATGATTACATATGAAATGAAATTATTGGGTGGGAAAACTGGCTAATTTTTCTTTTCTCGTTTCCTTTTCCACCTTAGTATAGAGCTGATAAAAGCGCAACCATTGCTGTGGCCGCAACATGGCTATGTACAGAACTGCACAGAAGGTTGGATCAAATGTGCTTTCCGTCTCTGTGGATCCGCTCCCGCTTGTTGAGACCAGCACAGCGGGTGTGGTCTTTTACACGTGCTCAGAAGATTCCAGAAGAAAGTTGCGGGTATTATGCACGTGACGCTGCGTGGCGAAATTCTGGAGGAGAGATAAAAAAGAACTGCACTGAATTCGCTTTTTGGGCTGCTCAGCTTCAGGTTCAGGAGAATCAGCTACTATCGACATGTCTGACACTATTGATATAATAATCAAGTATGTATGAGCCACTGCGAATGCTGTGTTATTGTCTGTGCGCAATTGTTACTAACTCTGTCGCTCTTGTGATTTTTCTCTCCTGCTAGATCTGCTGAAAAGAAGTATAATATTAGTGTTCCATCGAGCACTCTGATTTTGGATTTCAAGAAACACATTGAAACTAAAAGCTCGATACCTTCCAATCGCCAGCGTTTGATTTATTCCGGAAGAGTCTTGAAAGATAAGGAGACTTTGGCGTTCTATAAAGTGCAATCTGGTCACACAATCCATCTTGTCAAAGGCGCTGCAAAACCTGCTCCAGGAAATGCAAACACTCTGGCTAACAGTTCTAACCAGTCAACCTCATCAACCCCCAATTCATCCACCAACAATCCCAGTTCTAACAACAATATACCCTCTTCGACTAACATGGCTACGGGCACCGGAGCTTTTAATCCATTGGCTGATATAACCGGCGCCAGATTTGCAGGTTATGGCCCACAATTTTCGCCACAAAACATTTTACATCAAATGAACTCAATGGGTTTATCAAATGCAAGTGGGGAAATGCCCTCTGATGAACAAATGGAAAGAACAATGAATAACCCAATGTTTCAAGAAGGGATGAGATCAATGCTCAGAGACCCTCAAATGATTGACTATTTGATTGAGCAATCTCCACAACTAAGAGCAATGGGTCCAATGGTCAGACAAATGTTGCAATCCGAACAATTTAGAGAAATGATGACTAACCCTCAAATGATGAGAAATGCAATGGAAATGCAAAGATCAATGCAACCCGGTGGTGCTGGTCCCGGTCCCGTTAATCCTTTTAGTTTCAATTCACCAACTGCTCCATCTCCAACATCTGCTTTTCCTGCCCCAGGCGTACCTAGTTCTCAAACTAATAGCGGCGATTCCACAATTGCCAATGCTGGAAGTAATACTACCACCAATGATAGCAATAATAATAGTTCTACTACTACAGGCAGTAATACCGCTAATAGTGCCGCAAACCCCACATTTCCACCATTATTTTCTCCATGGGCAATGTTTCCTCCTTTGAACTCAAACAATCCTGCTAACCCAACTCCAAATCCCGCGTCAAACCAGTTTATGGATCAATTCTTAAGCATGATGCAACAGCAAGGTGCTAACCCAGCTACTGCTCCCCCAGTTGACACTAGGCCACCTGAAGAAAGATATGAATCTCAGTTGCGTCAATTGAACGACATGGGGTTTTTCGAATTTGATAGAAACATCGCTGCATTAAGACGGAGTGGTGGAAGCGTTCAAGGTGCAGTAGAATATCTATTGAATGGAGATGTCTAAAATAAAAACTTCATTATTATACAAATTTTCTAGTTTTTTTCTAGTTTTTTTTTATTTTTTTCATTTTTTTCCATTTTTGTTTCTTTTTGTTTTTTTAGATTTATACTCATCTGGTTTTATTTAATCATTTAATCATTTACAGTTTCTCTTATTTCCCTAATAGTTTTTTAATTTAATAAAATTTCACTTAGTCATAACCACTCCAAAGGCGTAATAAAACGTTATCCTACAAAATAAATAGGTAATGTTTTACTGATCATTGCACCACTTCTCATACGGGAACACGAAGGTTAAACCCTTAGAAATATGAAAATACTTCAGAAAAAGTGCTGCACCCAAGATCAATAAATCTTCCGAAGAAGATTAGTCTTCTGTTAACTAGAACATAAAGTATAACTATATCCACCATTTCATGGATCCGACCAAACGATCTAACCTCGTGGGAATGCTTTAATGTTATAATCAACAGTGAATATTGCGTTAAGAAAAAAAAAAGGAAGAAAGCAAAAGAAAACACAAACGAAAAAAAATTGTTTTTAGCACCTTCCGAAGCTAGCCCGGGTAACGAAAACCGAATCTGTTTTCTCAGGTCTGAGTGCCGGCTCATTCACGTGGTCAATTTTTTCAGTAATTTTTCATTTGCCTAAATTGAGCTCGTTCCATTGAGAGCATCTTCAGGAGCCTGTATTTATCAAATACATTGGATCTGTTGATCTCTTCAAGCAGTGGGCATTATATGACACCGAAAATACACCTGTGCTGGATATGTTGAGATCTGTGTTGTCGACAAGTATGTTTGCACTGCGTTTATCTTGCTCAAATTCTCGGTTTCTGTTTTACTAACTCGATTTCAAAGAGCTTTGCTTCAAGCCAATTGTAGCTTCCACCATAAAGTTCAGAAACTTTTCTGCTCTTTCCTATCGATTTAATGACGCTAAAACACCAAAGGACCAGCAAGGATTTGATTCGGAAAATATCGAGGATCTGGGGAGTCTGGGCGACCCCAATCCAGATGTGAATTCACAATTCAATGGCGAGCCTATTGATATCGATAAAATTCTTTCACTCGAAAATGAATTATTTGGTAATTATAAAAAAATAAAAGAGTTTGAAGAGCTAGACACATTTTTATCTGATCCTAAAGTATTATCAGTTCTAAACAACAAGTCTAAAGTCTCACTTTCTAAAACAGATCAAAACAAAGATGAAAAGAATAAAAGAGTTAAAATTAATCAAAAAGAAGATCAAGAGAATACCGAAGACATTGAAACTAAAGAAAATGTTGAAGTTCAAGAAATTATTGAAGAGAAAACTGAAACAAGCAAAGACTTTGATAAAGAACAAAATACTTCTGAGGATCTTGTTTCGAATCCAACTGATAACACATTTCATTTATCACTTCATGAAGTTGAGAATAAAATTTTGGAATCATTTGAGTCTTCTGTTAAGAAATTTAATGAAATACCTTCAAATAAATTGGATGAATATTATGAAAGCTTACTAAACTATAATAAGTCGTTTAAAGAAAAGACATTGGATCAAGTCAAGTCAAATTTGGACAAGTCTTTACAAGAAAATCCAGCATTGGATCAAGATAAATTTATTAATGACAATTTCAATGAAATTTTAAGTAAAACTGATCCAAAGATTAAAAAATTAATTTTTGATGAAAATTCGTTAGATCTAATGAAGACTGAATTATCTGGATTAATCAATCATGTTTTAGAAACCGAAGAAGAAACTTCGAAAAAAAAATTGCTCGATGATATTTCAAAGAAAAAGAAAAAAATAAGCAGTAGCTTATCAAGTAATGCCGCTGAAATCTCCAAGGATCCAATGGATGAATTAGTTGATGATTTAACCAGTGTCTATTTGGATTTGGACGTTGAAAAAGAAAATATTATAAATGATGAAAACTTATCTTATTTGAAAAAGTTCCCAAACTTGAAATTTTCTGGAAAAGATGAATCATACTCTGATTCCGAAATATATTTGAGAAACTTGCATTTTTATAAAAAGAATTTAAATTTAGGCTCATCATTTGATGGTAATACATATTTCCCACATAATGATCTAAATATTAGAAAAACCAATCAAACCAGTTTATCTATCAATACATTATTGGCTTGTGGGGCACATTTAGGACAATCAAAGGCATTATTTAGATCATCGACACAGCCATTTATTTATGGGGTTTATAAGGGTCTTCATATTATTGATTTAAATAAAACTATATCATATCTCAAGAGAGCTTGTAAAGTTATTCAAGGTGTTGTTCAAAACAATGGATTGGTGTTATTTATTGGTACAAGAGATGGACAAGAAAAGGCATTACAAAACGCAGCATCTATTGTTAATGGATACTATGTTTCATCGCGTTGGATTCCAGGTACGTTGACCAATGCAACTGAGACTTCGTTATCACCAAAGAAGACGATAGTTGATCCGTTGAATAAGATTGTGAATGAAAATGTGAATGAAACTCAGACAAATAGTATAACCAAGCCTGATTTAATTGTTGTTTTGAATATGCTTGAGAATGAAGTTGTGTTGCAAGAGGCGATGAGGTGTAATATTCCTACAATTGGAATTGTTGATACAGATTGCAATCCAAGTCTCGTTACATATCCAATACCAGCCAACGATGATAGTATAAGATGCACGAATGTTATTACAACGATTTTGGCGTCGGCAGGATATAGGGGGAAACAAAAGAGATATGAGAATTATTCAACAATACAAAGTGGTAATGCTGATGCATCATCATTGTTGGTTGAAGATTAGAATTGAAGTATCGTAAGTATCGTAAGTATTGCAATTATAATGGTGATATGGTGATTGTTGATTGATTTTTCATGTATATAAACTTAGTAATTATTTAGATAATTTTCTTTTTTTTTTTTTTTTACTTTTGACTTTTTGTTTTTGTTTTCTCGTTTTTCGTATTTGAACTTTAAATGAAAACGTCTTTTTTAGTTCAAATGCAAGACAAGATATCCGATTATAATTATATAAAAGAGAAGAAAGTTGTTAAATAAGATAAGGAAAAAGGGAAAACATCAACAGTAAAAGGCAAAAGGTAAAAGGTAAAAGGTAAAGATATAGAGTACGATAATTGAAATGATCAAGTCAATTAAAATTAGATAAAAGAGAAACAATAAAAAGAGAAATTGATGAAGATTGTGAACAAGACAAGTATAAAAGCAAAGAAAAAAGGAAAAAACGATAAGGAAAACAGATTAAAAAGTGAAAAGAAGATAAGTGAAAAAATGAAATTTAATAAAGATTTAGTAGAGATATATAGATGATGAAGTGAGGTTGAGAAAAACAGGGTTTGTTTTTGATTTTGATTTCGATTTCGATTTCGATTTCGATTTTGTTATTTTTTTTTTAATTCTTGGGAGGAGTAATTTCAGATTCATTTTTATAGGCATCAATGTTTAATCTCCAGTGTTTAGAATGAGCATTTGGATCATCTTCTTTATCACCGATTGGAGTACCAGAAGGAACGTCATTTTTAGATAGGTTGGCTAGAGTTGAGAGGGTGGTAAAGGGGTCAGATTTTTGGCCTAAAGCCGGTAATTCTTTGCCAGATAAGTCGATCTCAGTGAACCATCTGTTTTTCCAGGGAGTGTTGTTTTCAATTTCTATTTTTCTTAATTCTCTTTGGTCGTTTTCCAATTTTGATTTTTTGTTGTGGATTAAATCGTAGTCACCAGATTTAATAGCTTCAGCAACATCTAACCAGGCCTTTCTTGATTCTAGAGGATGTTGAGCTTCAATTGGTTTGACTGAGAGAATTTCTGGTTTGATCAAGTTTGCGTCGTAGAATAATTTTTTTGCGGAGGAGTTGTATTTACTGATGTAAGATTTTTCAGACCATTGACCTTGGATTGTGTATAAAATTTTTTCGGGGGATTTCTTTTTAAGGTTGATTTTGGCTTCGTTATTTTTTATGATTTTTGCTTTGAAAGTGTTTTTCTTTCCAGAAAAGTAGCCTCTGCCAGAGTATTCTATAGCGGACAAGTAACCGGAGGAGGATTGAATGTAAGATTTACCATCTAGTTCAACAAAGGGGGAAGCGGCTAATAAACCTTCTATGTGGAGGCCAGGAAGAGTTATTAAGTATGAATCATTTGAGTTTTTGTATTGGAGGATAGCATGGCCAAACTGTTTGACAGATAGGGTGTAGGTGTAGATTGAAGCTTTGATTCTGTTGTAACCTTGCAAGGTTGTGTTGTGTTTTTCATTAATGATTGCGTAGGCAGTTATAGGAGGATGGTGAGAGACCTGTTCGCTGAGCAAGATAGTTTCACCCAAGTCTTTTGAGTCTTTTGGGTCTTTTGAAACACTGGACCATTTACCCGTAAACAATTCACCTAGGAATGGATTCAAAGGTTTCTTTTCAGAACCCATTGATTCGTTTCTTGAGCAATATTGGGATTTCAAAGTGGCAATAAACCATTTAGTTACAGCTAGAATTTTTTTGACGTCAATGTTATCTTCGTCGGCTTCATAGTCGTCATCGTCGTCGTTGTCGTCGTCGTCGTTGTCAGATTGTGTCTTGGGGTTGTTGGATATGAAATTAGGAGCCAATAGCAAGTTTGGGTGTTCAGCCCAGTATTGAGAATACTCAACAAGAGAAACAGGGGACAAAATAAAAGGTGGAGCTGTCAATGAAGCTAAATCACCATTGTAGGAGGTAATTGATTTCAAAAAGGAGGTCCAGGAAGCAGCAGAAGCCATTGTGAAGCAGATAAGAAGAGCAAAGAGCAAAAAATGGGCAGTGGATAGCTGGAAAGCTGGAAAAGGGCAGCAAAAAGGATCGGAAGAGCGTTGGAAGGTGTTGCAGAAGAGCCAGCAGAGAGTCGCGAATTGGAAGCAGAGGGAGAGGAAGGATGGGAAGCTGGAGCTGCTGCGTGGACAATATTTATACTCCTCCGCCGCGGACAGGGCCGTCGTGCCGGCGCGGCGGGCGCGTGTCGTAGAGCTTGACGTGCTCGTTCGCGTCGTATACCCAGCTGAGAATGCGTGCGCTGGCTGAACGACCGGCCGGTATGCCCTTACCCGCCGCCTCTGACTTCGGCCGCGCTGCAGCCGGCGGGCGTGTGTCGCTGCAGAGCTGCTGGAGCCGCTGCGCTGGTTCTTTGCCATTCGCCGCTTACGTGGTTGTGCTGTGTTCGCTATTGCCTAATTTGGACACTGATATAATCAGTTCGCCTGCATGTGACTTACTGCACACTGGAAGTAGTAGCCGATGTTGTTTCTCTCATCAAAATGTAGCAAACCACATTGCGTCTTCAAAATACAGACATATTTCCACTCAGGTCAAGCCAGCTCAAGCCAGCTCAAATCAAATCACCGGCTTTATCTCAACAGACCCTCCCACGATGCCTGGTGATCTGCCGGCACACGTCCTCTCCCAGCTATTGCTCCTCTACCTCCACCATTTCGACAACCGCCAGTACTTTGACTATCTCTGTGTTCTATCCAACAACCCCACTTTCGACGGTGCTTTAAATTACAAGCTCACTGATGCTGCTGCTCCTCGCAGGGGCAAGAACTGTGTGTTTCTCTTCTTCTTGAACGACTTCTGGAACATTGTTGTTGTCGACGAGTCCAGACAATTCATCTTAATCCTAAACTTCACCACTCTTTTTCCCAAGACCATACTCGATCATTTGTTCAATGCCTCCTCTGCTCACTCAATTCAGCTTTTAAATATGTTAAACAGTGTCTATAGCCAGAAATTCTTCCTTCCAAACCACCCAGATCAACCTCCTGATTCCGACAGCTCAGATGGTTTTATAATCAAGTTGTTCAATTTCAACTCACCCACTAAAAATTACTTTAAAAATATCTACTTCTTTTTGAAAAATTTATACCTAATCTCTATGAGTGACTCCATCGTCAATATCTACTTTAAAAGAATCTCCTTCATTTCCAACTTGATTGATTTTATCAACTTAAATATCTTAACAAAAAACTTGCTCTTATTACTCCCAACAAATGACTTCATTGATATTGACGATGAAAATATAGATGACGATATTGAAAATAATGACAATGATGACGATGATGCTAATGATGCTGATACTAATTCAAATAAACAAATTAACGACTTGATCATACCCAAAAATTCAAAGATATACTCCGATTTCGATCAAGTTCCTCTAACAATAAATCAAAGCCATACCCCGATCTTCATCAGTTTCAACCTACTAAACTTCTTGAACCAGTATTCATCTTTCTCAACACAAAAGTGCTCTGACATCTTTACTCTCTACCAATCCAATTTCTTTTCTTCTTCTCTCAACACCGACCAATTTCTTATAATAAATCTATTTAAATCAAATCTAAACATTCCTTTTTTTAACCAATTCTTTATCAAACTCTTATTCAAACAAATCCCCACATCCACCGTCTCTCATCACTTTTCAAATTTCAAATCTGAGTTCAATTCTATCCACGATACCAATAACACCTCCTCTTCAGCCTACTTGGAACTCTTTAAAAAATTCAAGTTTCTAAAATTCATTAACATTCTAACTCAATTGAAAACAAAAAATTCAACCTTGTTTTACTCCCTGCTGTTTCAAAAAAATGGTATATTTCCCTTTCTAACTTTGGATCTACGCAACTTTTCTTCTACAATTCAAAACTTGAAATCCAAGAAAAAAAGAAAAACAATATCTCACTTACCCAATATCGATCACTATGATCTTGATAATGCCCCGATTTCTTTCAGAAAAAGAACAAGAACACAAACAAGAAGAAATAGAAATCACTCATTCTCAGATATTGCTGAATCAAGCATCATCATCTTAAGCGATAGCAGCGACTCCAATTCCAATTCCAATTCCAATTCCAATTCCAATTCAAAAAAAATTAAATCTAATCCTAAAACTTTACCCTATACTCAAAACCACAACATCATTAAAATTAATAAAATCGATAGAATCAACAAATACAATCAAATCAACGAAGAATACGTGTCTGATACAACTGAAAAAAATACAAATTTAGAAACAGAATCAAAAAAAATCATTCAATCATCCAAAGAAAAGAGTCAAACTCCTAAAATTGAAAATCAATCAGTTGAAATTATAGAGTTAGATAACGATACCGACGATGAAGACAATACTGACAATGATGGCACTGCTGAAAACATCGAAACTCTAAATATCACTCATCACGCACAAAATATAGTAGAAGATAACAAACATTCGGACTCCACAATTTCGAAAATTAAAACCGAAGAACCAATTCACCAATCAGAAATTAAAAAATCAGCTCCAATAAATCCTCTTGATAATGAAAAAAGCACAGAAAATGAAATAAACATAGAAAATGACAAATTTTTTTCAGACGAAAACTCTTTAATATCCAATTCACAAGATCCTCAACATAAAAACCAATCTGATTTGTCTCAAGACTTAATAAGTACCACTGGTATCAATCATATTCCAGAAGAAGTACAAGAAAAAGTACAAGAAGCAGTACAAGAAAAGGCAGAACAACAAACTCAAAAAACTCAAGAGATAATTCAAGAACTAGTTCAAGTATTACCCCAAAAAGAATATCAAGAAGAAAACCAAAAAGAAAACCAAGAACAGGCTCTCGAAAAAGTCGAAGAAGTGCAAAAAAAGGAACAAGAGGAGATACTAGAAGAAATTCAAGAAACAATTCAAAAGACGATTAATAAAGAAATTCCAGAAATAATTCAAGAAGTAAAAGAAAATATTCCAAAGGAAATTCAAGAAGTACAAGAGGAAATTCAAAAGGATATTCAACAGGACATTCAACAGGAAATTCAAAGAAATAGCGAAGACAAATCTGAAGAAAAATTGAGCGAAGTATTTAACAATAGAGTCATAGTTGCAGTAGAAAATAAAGTTGATGACCAATCTAATGACAAAATTTATAATAACTCTCTGGAAAATTTAAAAAAAATTAATGATAAAATTAATGATAAAATTAATAATAATATCAAGGAAATTATTGCAAATCATAACCCAGAGAAAGTTGACCCAAAAAGTAAAAATCACCAAAAAGATAAAATTCAAAATAAGGTGGACAATACCCAGAATAATGCTTTGAGTGAATTATACAATATTATACAGGAGAACATTTTAATGAAAATAAAAAACAGATCTCAAAATGAAGCAAAAGAAAAAACGCAACAAAGTGTATTGAAAAACAATTCTGAACAGCATAAAAATGAAAAAGTGGGTAATTTAAAGGATTATAGTAAAAATGAAATTCAAATTGGAAATACGCATTATAGCCAAAGACAGATTGAAGTTCAAAGGCAGACACAGGTTAATTTGCAAGATGAAACCCCAAATCAAAAACCAACAAATTCTCAAAATAAAACCAAAAATCTGAATTTAGATAAAACCCCCAAACTGGTATTCAGTAAGTTTTTTCAATCAAATAGTCAAAATATCAAAGAAATAAGTCCATCCCAAGAGCACAAAGATCTTATTAAGATAAATAAAAACTCTTTTCAGCTGAACTGTGCTTTATCGGGTCCAAAAGCAACGATTCAAACAAATCAGGGGGTATTGAACAAGTCATTTAATGTTCAAAACCCTCCTGGATTTTCTTTCAACAATAGTGGCTATAACACAAAACAATATGGTTTTTATCCTAGTACTAACAATATAAACTTAGGAAATATTTTCATGCCCAAACCAGCTGTAACTGAAGAAAATGTTGACAAAGTTGCAGTTCTCAAAAAAAGAGTTATAGACGCTTACAAAGAACACCAGGAGAAAGGAGAAGAATATAACATCACCGTAACTTTGTTCAATCAGCTATACAAGGAAGTTTCTGATAAAGAAAAATCTTTAGAAATGTTGAAAGAAGAATATCAGAAGAAAACTGATGCTTTAGATGCTTCTAACAATATCAAACTTGAGACGCTAAAAACTAAATGCGAAATTAAACGTTTGCACCATATTTATGAAATTGACGCATTGAAACATACCTTGGACCTAAAGAAGATGCTACTTCAAAAAGAAGATGGGAGGAAATAAGTGCATTTAGTATTTTGTTTGAGTTTTTAGTATCAAAACTTATAAGGTTATTATAATAATTTTTCATCATCGCAAGTGACAAGTAGAGGGTTAAAATAATCTAGAATTGAAAACTACACAAGTTATCGAACTATTGTTAAAAGATTAAAGTTTCTTAGATGATATAACTCAACAAAAATTTAACTGAAAAACATAGAAAATAAACATAAAAAGAAAAAGAAAATAAAATAAAATAAAAAATGTGGAAGAAAATAAAAAAAAAAAAAAATGAATAATATTGAGAATAAAATATGGCACAAACTGTTGGTTTCATTAGAAGACTAAATATACATGAGGTTAAACAAAATAAAAGATAGGCAAAAAACAGAAAAATGAAATTAATATAATTGTAAAGTTCAAGAATAAGTTCAATAAAATTAAAAAAATGAAACCACAGTTAACAAAAGCAAAAAAAATTGGCAATTTAGCTTTATATCAAAACAAAACAACGGTGTTTAAATAAATATCTGTAGAATAAAATTAATCAACATTTTCCATTTCCTCGCCAGTTTCTTCAATTATTACATCTATGAGTTGTTCATGCTGGGCGTCAGTTAGACTCATATAATTCATAGTACAATCGTCATCTTCATTGTCACTAAGTTGTTCGTTAGTAGAAGTTATTGTTTTCTTTCCTGATAATACTTGTTTTTCTCTTTCGATTCTCATTTTAACAGCCAATCTGCAATTTTCCAAGATGGATATCTTCTCTTCTAAAGGTAGATCATACTCAGGATTATTCAACCAACTAAATGTTACTTTTGATTTATGTTTTAAATTATTTCTGAAGGCACAGAGTCCTTGCGTAAATATACCACCTCCCAAAGAGTTGTGAGTATTAGTTAAATTTTTTTTTATTAGATAATCTGTTAGATTTCTAGTAGGAGCTTTTTGTAGCATGTTGTTGCTTAAAATATTAGAATTGCCATCAAGTAAGTTGTCAGTAGCTTGTGATATATTTGAGGCTACACTTGCCACAGATAGATCATCGGTAAAATCTTCGTCCTCTGAATCTAATTTTGTAGAATTATAGTAGGAGTCTAATTTGAACAATGTCAATGATTGTCTCTTTCTCAATGTTGCACTTGAATTTAGATGTGTTCTAGGTTTTGAGGAAGTGGGAGAAGTTGGAATACCACCAAAAGAATAGCCACCTGTTGAATTTGTAATCATGGATGAACGAGCTGGACTTGTATCTCTTGCAAAATTTAGATTCAAAGTTCTGGTTTTTGGTAGAATTATTGCCAGAGATTCCAATCCAGGAAGAGTATTAATTCTTGGGATCATTGTTAAACCACTTTTAGAAATTGGTCTCATGGGACTTTTGCTTCTCTGTCTAACAGGACTTTTGCTACTGGTTCTCAAATAATTTGAAGATGGAGCAAGAGATTGATGAAAATCTAAATGAAGACTGTTTTGGTTTTTTATAGATGAGTAGGTAGTTGAACTATTGCTGACTGACCCTAAAACACTCGAGGGTCTTTTATTTACAAGCTGGCGAGTTTTAGGTACGCTAGTTGAAGTTAAAATTGTATTTGATAAAGAATAATCGGAATTGAGATTTGAAATTGATCGAGCTTTAGATAATGTTTTCCTGGCAGTTTCTGAATTGAAAGTAACGGTATTTGAGGCATTGAATAGTGGTTTAGTTGGTCTAAATCCCATGCTGGATTTTGATTTTCTATGAGTTAGAATTTTATTTGTTACATCATGTTTAGATAGTGTTGTATCTTTGAAAAAAAGGTCTGAAGAAGAGGGTATAGAGGAAGTTGAACTTTTTAAAGCCGAATTAAGGTTTGATGATAAAACCGGGGCATCAGCAGTGTCAATACTTGAAATAGAAAGATGTTTGAATTTTTTCTGAAAAGTATTGTAGGAATGTAGGGGAGAGTCAGCTAATAAAGAAGAGTCGGATAAAATTGGAGTTGGAGCAGGAATTTTCGAATTTCTTCTGCTTGAGCTTGGTGTTGATGTTAAATCAAATGGATAGGATGGAATTTTAAATTCTTTTATACTTGATGTCGAAGCACTTTTGAAATGTTGGATTTTATTATTTATTAGTTCTGTGGATGTAATTGAATTTTTAGCAATTTTGGAATTTGATAAACTGTTTGAAAAATCTTCAGGCAAATTCTTAGTACTTGGAGAGTGAAGCACCAAATTTTCTATCGGTGAAACAGTCGGACTTTTTTTAATTGCCGATTTAACAAACTGATTGGAAAATCTTTTTCCGGATGAAGTTGAATATATAGGTAAAGAATTTGTATGTACCATTGGAGGTGCAGACTTGGGATTACTAAAGCGAGGTTTTGGAGAAGAAATTGAAGATTTTATAGTTGAAGAAGTGTTTTTCGAATCAACAAGATCAAGTGATTTTAAATCATCAGAATCCTTTTTAGAATAATGAAATTCTCTTAGTTTTGCTCTTGAAGCGCGACGAATTGAATTCAGTGAGTCCTTTCTGGACCTTGATGCTGAGGCCGATGTTGGACGAGCGTAATGTGGAATATTTGAATAATCATCTTTGGAATCGTGAGAGGAGATGAAAGCTCTTTGGGAACCACCACAATAATCCTCTTCGATGGGAGCAGGATTTAGTAGATGGTTAAAGGTATCATCAGTTATTACTGTATAATCTGTTTCGTTGTAATATTCAGTATCATTATAGGAATTATTAATTGTGATGACATCATTTTCATTGGTGTAGTCTAATTTTAGAGGGTCATTTATATTAAAATTCTGAATGTTATTATTTGAAACTAGATTCAAACTATCGGATACATTTTCTATAGTATTTTGTAGTAGACTGTTTTGAAATTTTTGTTTTTGGGCTAATAAATCAGATTGTTGTTTTGCATTCCATAGGGAGACTTTAAAGATTCTTTCAACTTGAACATGGAAAGCCAATCTTTCTAAATAGCCCTTGATGATTTTGTATCTGTCATCTTTGTTAACGAAATTTCTGTTTTCAGATTGAATTACTTTCCATTGTTTATTATAGGAGTGTTTGACTAAGATTCTTTTGATTCTTTTTTCTATTGGGTGTTCGATATAGAAATTTGATTTATTGACCAAGACATGTAGATAATTGTCCAAAGTTGAAGAGGCGTTTAATATTGAAAATTTGAAGGTTCTATTTATTTTTTTCAATGTTTCATTTTCATTAGTGTTTGTGTTTAGTTGATCATTAGTTTTATTAATTGCATTGCTATTGTCATTATTTTCATCTTTTTTGTCTTCGTCGTCTTCGTCTTCGTCGTCTTCATCTTCATCATCTTCATCATCTTCATCATCGTCATCTTCTTCGCTATCTGTATCATCTTCTGCTTCATCAATATTGTCAGCTTCAAATAGATGGTTTAAATTTTGGATGTGGTCTTTAGTATCTGTTGATTGTAATAAAGGGGGCAATCTTGACAAATTTTTAGGGTGATTTGATAGTATTAATAAGGAGCGAAATTTGTTTTTTGACCAGTCGATGAGGATTCGATGTTTATCGTTGATTAAGATTCTTTCGAATTCAGTTCTGTTATAGAGGATGTCTAGTTTTAGTTCATCGTCATTTGACAATTTTTTATTTATGAGGTTGTTGTAGTTGTTATTGATGGGATTGTTTAAGGTGTTGTTGTTGTTGCTGTTGTTGCTATTGTTGCTATTGATAGTATTGGCGGTATTAGTAATGGGGGCGTTATTAGTGGCGGTTAGGTTATTGTGAATTGAAGAGTCTATTCCGGTTAGTTTATCAAGAGTTGGTTTATCGTGGTCAATGTTGGATCTTAATATAGGAGAAGAGTTTGCAAAATGGAAGGAGTTTGAAGAGTTTGAAGAGTTTGAAGAGTGTGAAGAGTGTGAAGAGTGTGAGGAGTGTGAGGAGTGTGAGGAGTGTGAGGAATGAGAAGAGTGAGAAGAGTGAGAAGAACGAGAGGATATGGGAGAATGAGATAGATTGTTAGAGGTTGGGTCAGGAATTCTGTAAATGCCATTTTCATCAGCTAGGAAGTTTGGTAGATTGTAGATTTCTAGTCTTTTGAACATGTATGATAAGGCTCTAATTTGAGAATCTATATCGTCTTCATTTTCACCTTGGATATAAGAAGGAATCTTTTGGGAGGATTGAGTTTGGGAGGAGTAAGTGCCAGATAAAGGCCATAGACTCCCAAGAAAACGATTCATTTAATAGTGATAATTAGAAAGAAAGAGAGAGAAGAGAAGAGAAGAGAAGAGATTGGTTAAGATTGGTTGAATGGATAAGAAGTGAGATATTCTTTTTATTGAGTGGGATATTATTAGAATAGATGATTAAACATAATATTTGGAGATAGAATCAAGATCAAGATCAGGAGGGAGGTGAAGATATAGGCAGGAGGGAGATAAAGAGGAGGAGGAGATAGATAAAGATTTCGATGGTGATGGTGATGGTGATAATAAAGAAATTGCTGGTTATCTTAAATTATAAATAAGATAGGGTATAATAAATTGAAAAGGGCTAGATAATGAATATTTTTAAATTTAGATGAGGGAAATGAAAGAATTTGAAATGGTTTGGAGGTAATTTGAAAATAATTGATGGTTTGAATAAAATTGAGAATGGATATAAAGGAAGTATGGTAATGTTGGATCAATCTTTAGGTAATAGAATGAGGTGAATGGTGAATGAATGAAGTGAAGGAGATTGATGATTTACAAAAGAATGAAGTGATGACTTGATTAGTGATTTTGGATTTAGTTTATTTTGTTAGAAAAAAATTAAATTATTTGAGATTGAATTTAAATTGTTGACAAGTTATGTTGAGATTGAGGTTATTGATATTGGTGTAATTAACAGAGAAAAAATAATTGAAAATTGAAAGACAACAGTATAAGTGTAAGGTAGTATAGTATAATGTGAGTGTAGGAAATTGAGATGGTTAAGATGGTTAAATTGAAGAAAAGGTGATAATGGAGAGTAGGAATAAGAATAAAAGTAAGAATTTGAATATGAATATGAGTATGGATTTGAATTTGAATTTGAATTTAATATTTAATATTTAATTGGAATCAAGAATTGGAATATTGAGTAAGTGGTATGAAAGAATTTGGAATTTTTTAATTTCTTAGCTTCTTAATTTTTTAATTTTTTTTTAGTTTAGATCTTTATTTTACCTTTTTTTCTGTTCTCTTTTTCTTGTATTTTTGGCAAAAGAATGAAGAAATGCAATTTCAGGTATTATCAAAAATCGAGGCTAATGAAAGAAAAGAGGAATAGTGGGCAAAAAGGTGGATGAAATTTAGTAGAGTTAAATTAAAATCAAGCTGGCGAAGAGGATGGGAATGAAAAGAAAGGAATTCAAGAGAAGATAAATGGAGATAATTGAGAGATTATATGATCTCGATTGTTTGTTTTTGTTTCAAAGACAGGTTTCCTTGTTGAGTAGGAATATGGAATAAAGATAGGGAAGATAAAAACAGAGAATTGCAAACTACGCAAACTACAATGGCGACAGAAAAGCGATTATCGAACAGAAAGATAGTGGATGAGTTGAAAGAAAGTGAGGAAAACGTTAAAAGAATATCAGCGAATAAACACAGCAGATTATTCTGTAAAGAGTCAGACAAGTTTCTCATGGTCACTACAGTGGAAATGGAGCTGTGGAGCAGACTGGAGAGTGGTTCGTTCAGCATTTTCACCATCACCTTCGTTTCACCATCAGCATCGGCATCTTCACCTTCTCCATCTCTTCTCATCTCTTCTCATCTCTTCTCATCTCTTACGTGCTCTTCTTAAGTACTCTTCTTAAATACTCTTTTTAAGTACTCTTCTTAAGTACTCTTCTTTCATACCCGCAGTACGCGCTCCACAGCGCCGGGTCTGGCCAGCAGAACTGCTTCCGCAGCCAGTGCGCAGGACAACGCATGGCGTAGTCAATGCTTGGATGGCTGATGACATAAGCACATACTGTAGCTCATCACACACAGTGCGTGTGCTTACACAAGCACAGCTAGATTCTGTTTGACGCGCGAGTTTTTGCGCGATGGGAATGGAGCAGGGCTCGGCAACTTCCAATTTGTGCGTAGTGCAAGCTGATGCTGATAGCCGCCGTTATCCAACGCTTTCTGCTTTGCAACGCATGAGGGAGCCGATAGCTCCTGCACTTGCCCCCGTGCAAACGCAACAAAGGCCTGTGCACCCACGCTGCTGAAATCATCAACTCAGAAAAATAAGGTGATATTTTCTTTCGATTGATGAATCAAGATGAAGAAAAAAAAATATTTTCCTTAGTCAATGATCATTAGATTTATGTTGCTATTCCAAAACGATGATTTGTTTATGATTTAGTAGTTCTGAGATCAGCATTCAACAACATTCAATAATATTCGCCATTATTCAAGAATATTCATTAATCTCCAATACCATTCAGTCCATTCAATACCGCTCAACTTTCTTGCGTGCTATCTGGTCTACTTTATCGAGCTCTGCTTTTTCGCTTTTATATCCTCTTTCCTTCTTCTGCAACGTTACCACCCATTTTCGTTGTTGGGATTACACTAACAGTACTAATATTCAGGTAACAAAACACAATTTAAATAATAAATACAAATCGTGTTACCTCGCCCTCATGTTCCTTCTGTTTTTGTCATCCGCATTGTTGTTTTTATTTGTTGTTTGATTTACTCAAGGCCAGAAGGGGATTTGGCTGATTACTCAGGATAACGGGAGATTGAAATCTTCAGCCGGGTTACCCTATCCGGGCCTCGATTGGGCCTGGATTTAAGCACTTTGAAAATGCTTAACAATCTCAAATATTTCAAGTCTTTCAGTTTCTCTATTAGAATAATCGCAGCATTTCGTCATTTTCCAAACCACACATGTATTGCCTTATGGATTAAGGCAGCTTCCGAAAACGATTCACCCAAAAAAAACGATTCTGCATTTCATTCTTCCTCCTCCATTTGAAGGCTTCTGGCTCAATCTGGAAATCAGAATTTGCCTCATTTGTTCACTGAAACTTGTACATAATAGCGCTAAATACTACACCACTTGATTTTCGTCGGAAATGACATTTTCAGTCACAGCATCCATTTTTTGTAATGTTCTGTGAATTTTTGTAAACTTCACAATCACATCCACACCGATTCCAAACTTCATTCCAGAATTGCTTGAATTTCACCATCCAAAGCACCACAACCATGGTACACACATCATCTGACCCTCACCTTGCCTTCACCTGACTTTTCTACTTATGCACCACGTGATCAAATCGCAGCTGCTTCATTCCAGTTTTTCGACATTCCAATTTTCCGGCTGAAAAAAAAGCAGCCATGCACACTGCGGTGTGTCTGCCTTCACCCTACACACTAGTTAACGTTCTGGGGCGCTATTGTTGTTGCCCCCAGCAGTGCCACTACAGTACATGTGTGGATTGTGTCTATTTCACAACTGCTAAACCTCCTAGACGCTGCTCTATAAGAGCCTGCTATCGTAAAAGGAGCAAATGCACCTGGGAATATATACTAATATATACTTGTAGTCACACCAGCACCAGGCCCATGGATCTATCCCACGCCTTGTCTTTGAGTGCTGTTTTTCGAGTGCTGCAGCGTCTGCCGCAGGGCTCATGCATAATCGCTGTCTCATGCGGTACACCACTCGGCTTCATGCATAGAATCTTTCTTCTACCGACGGTCAAACCACCCCTTGTGTGCTGACATGATTGCTGCTCACGTAAGCAATCCTTTTTTTGCTATGGCTGCTCTGCTCAGCAGTTATCCCTGCCAAAACAGCTTTTTTCTGACTGCTCCAGCTTTTTCCCTGCTTTTCGCTGTTTGTTCTGTCACTTTGTTTTTTGCTGTATTTCTTTTTCCTGCTTTTTTCTCGCTGATAAACTGGAAATCCTTTTTAGGCCTCTTTTTTCCTCCAATCAAAGGCCTTTATTCTCTCTTTATCTTGTTTTTTTCTTTTAGGCCCACTCAATTCAATTTCTACAACAGCTTTTTTCCACCTTATTCCATAATTCTGCTCTTAGCTTTGCTTGTTGTTTTTTTCTTTTCTTCCTCCACCGTCAAAAGAAATAAATTCAATATAAATTTACTTCATTTTTGGTTTTTTCTCTCGTTCCCTTTTTTTCTTTTCCTTTCTTTTCAATTTCATATATATATAAGACATTTCAAGCTTTCAAGTTGTCAATTTAATTTCCATATATACATTTACATCCTTGTTTCAACTCCCACTTTTTTTTCTCCCCAAACCACTTTCAACCACTTTTAAAAAGCTTTTGTTTTTTGTTTTTTGTTTTTTTGGTTTTTGGTTTTGTTCTCTTTGAACTCTTTTTTTATCCTCCTCCATTTAACCAGTTTTTAAACGCTTTTTAAACATTTTCGAAACGCCCTTTCAAAATGTCTCAACCTGTTTCTGCTCCGATTGCTGAACCCATTTCCGAAAAAAAACAAAACCTTCCGGCTTTTAAAGAAGAAGACGAGGATGAAGAAGAAAACATCGATCAACTAATCCTAGATTTGCAATCCGTTAATGGTGCCGACGACCTTGATTCTGTCGAGGATGGTGTTGCTGGTGAACCTATTCAAGTCCCTGAGGAACTCCTACAGACCGACCCCAGCATTGGATTGAGCTCTGATGAGGTGCTTAGAAGAAGAAAAAAGTATGGTCTCAACCAAATGGCTGAAGAAAAGGAAAACATGATTCTCAAGTTCTGCATGTTCTTTGTTGGGCCAATTCAATTCGTTATGGAAGCCGCTGCCATCTTAGCTGCTGGTTTGGAAGATTGGGTTGATTTTGGTGTCATTTGTGCCTTATTGTTGTTAAACGCCTTTGTCGGATTCATTCAGGAGTACCAGGCTGGATCCATTGTTGATGAGTTGAAAAAGACATTAGCCCACTCTGCTCATGTTATCAGAGATGGCCACTTAGTAGAAATCCCAGCCAATGAAGTTGTTCCAGGTGACATTCTTCAATTGGAAGAAGGTACAGTCATTCCAGCCGATGGTAGACTAGTGTCTGAAGACTGTTTCTTGCAAGTTGATCAATCTGCTATTACTGGTGAATCTTTAGCTGTTGACAAGCACCATGGTGACCAAACGTTCTCTTCCTCCACTGTCAAGAGAGGTGAAGCCTTTATGGTTGTGTGTGCCACTGGTGATAACACATTTGTTGGTAGAGCTGCTGCTTTGGTTAACAAGGCTTC